ACTTGTATTTCAAAAGACAAAACACATGGAATATTACTTTTTATTTAAGATGTAAGGCAGATCTATGATGGTATAAAAACATGGTACATAATCACAGCAAATTTTTGGGATTATGAAGTTTTAGCAAATTACACAATTATAAAGACAATTTTCCAAGCAGATACAAAATATAATGAAAGACTGAGGGAGGAAATGACTAACAATGGAAAATTCATTTTTATGTAAATTGCACAGAACCCTTTATAAACTTCTAAAGGTAAAAATCATCACATCTAGTTTATTCAAACTTTTATGGCATCATGACCAAGCACAAGTCTGAAAACGCTTTAGTTTTGACTTCACATTAAGAAACGCAAATTCACAATGGTTTGAAGATGCCAGGTAGAAGTAGTGAAGTAGTCAAGACCTGTGTAAGTATCTAATTTGTTTTAAGGGTGTGACCCTGCTCCTATCATCTCCACAATCCTGACAGCAAGAATTAAAAAATGCTGCTTTACTTTGAAAAGAACTCCAGAAAACCAGTGATGGCCCAGTCCCCTTTCATCTGCTTAGCCACATGAATATACTAATCAAGAGGAGAGCAACTGATGAATGTGATGAGCAGCTGACTTTAACTTCTTGACCTGCTCAGGCTATGCATCCGCAAAACTGTATCATTATTTCCATTAGTTTCCTTTGGGCAGATATCATTCACAATGAACACCTCATTGTGCTCAGGGACCAATTGCTCAGGAAGCAATTTCTGGCTCTAAGCTGATGGTGCTCAGGACTAACACCCACATGCAAAGGTAAGTGCCTTACCCCTCTGTACTGTCTCTCAAGCCCTCAAAATTCTTCATATGGTAATGGAACCAACAACATATAAACAGATAATAAAGGTATGATATGTATATATATATACACACATACCTAAGAGATTCCCCAAAGAATAAATACTAAATAAATAAATGGAACACTTTACATTAGTACTTCTTTCAGAGCTGCCAAACACATTCAAATCCTAATTTTATATATATAAAATTCACACAATGAACTACTACAAAGAATAATGCCATGCAATTTGCTACAACTTGGATGGGAGTAAGCCAAGACAGATCAGATGTATGGATGGTAGATAGATGGTACATAGAAGAACAAGTAGTCATCAAAGGGGGGGATATACTAGATTACTCTGGAACCTGTATTATATATAGAACTGAAGGGAAGGGAAGAAACTCAAAGAGGGGAAGAGGCACATGGAAGGGTAACAAGGGCAGGAGCCTCAGACATACTGGTGGTGAAGAGGTGTTAATATTATCTGAATCATAAAACCAACAAAACTGAAAGGATGACACACAAACTACAATAACCAAATGATCGAGAGGAAGGCTTGAGGGTTGGAGGGGAAATTGATGGAAGGAAGTTAACATTGGTGGTAGGACAGGTGTTGGAAGTTGGGTACCTTAATAACTCTTATTATCTTATTTTTGGGTCACACCCGGCAATGCACAGGGGTTACTCCTGGCCCATGCACTCAGGAATTACTCCTGGCGGTGCTCAGGGGACCATATGGGATGCTGGGAATTGAACCCAGGTTGGCCACGTGCAAAGCAAACTCCGTACCCACTGTGCTATTGCTCTAGCTCCTTAAACTCTTAATTATGAACAACTCTGCAAATCACAGGGCGCAAATAAAATTTTAAAATTCTCCATATAAAGGCATGAGCACCTTTCTATTCATTAAATATATACCGACTTAAGAATAACTTGTTGTGAGGGATCTCATTTGTGACAACATATCACAACTTAACAGGTGTGTAAAATAGGAGTGTTTTGGCATGTGTTTACAAAATAAGTTCAAGACAACATTTTAGGTTGTTTTAACACTTATTTCAAAACAGTTTATGGACACAGATTCAGTGTTTTCAGCATTCCTAAGTTTGTAATTTACAAATTACATCTATGTAGCTTTTTTAAAATATCCCTTAAGAAACCTGAAATTTCACAAATGCACCTCTTTGGGGAGAAACTGTACAGAATTTATTATGAAACAGTTTAATGGCAAAAGGCTATTTAAGATAATGAAAGTTTTATTGTATTACACAAGAGATAAAGAATATAAAAATTAGATGATATATTCTTAAAGCCCTTTTTACTTGACAGTGCGAATACACCTTGTTATTTTATTACATCAGGTTAATTTTAAAAGTAAAATTTCTTAAGTCAAGATGCTACTTTTTATGAAATTAAATAGGTAGTTAATACTGTAGCTCATTAGCCAATCCCTTATGTAGCATAAAATAATTACTTCTAATAAATACCTATAATTTACTATCATACTTTTAAATATTTTAAAATTTAAATAAAAATTTCCACATGTGTAGACAAACTGAGATAAATTTCTATATATGCTTTGAAAATATGTTATGAATATATTATTTAAACATAATTTGAAATAGTCTAAAGAGACAAAAATCTAAACAAAAATAGCATAATTCACTTCAATGCTATTTTCTTCTTAGGAAAAAACTGATATTCTTGCATAGACTGAGATTGGGCATATTTTCTACAATCTTCTAAGTTTCCACCACATTCTCACATATTGCTGACACAGAATTCTATGAGGGCAGAATAAAGCATCTTGGGGAAAATAATGAAATGCAAATAATGGAAAAGTAACTGGGCATGAATTGGTAAAATAAGTCAATTTAAAGTCGATTTTTAAAAAAAATTAATTGGTACCTGTAATTTTTATACTTTTAGAGGGCCTTTTAAATGTCAAATTTATTTATTTTAATACTTAAAAACATCTAATATTTGTAGTAGTGAGAGGTATTATTATCATTTGAAACAAGTTATTGTTCATTCATAAAAGTTTTCACAAACACTTCCTTTTGTATATTTTAGAAGTCCCTGATCTATAAAAGGGATAAATTTTATTCTTTAATAAGATAAAGATCTTATGAAAACTCTTAGGAGAAAGAGACTTGCTCTTCAAGCCCATTTTCTTTCTTGGGCATGTATATCACCTTGTCTTTATGTGTCTTTGCTTGCTTTTTTCTATCTGGAGAAGTCCGTGTTCTCTTGAACATGTATTTCTCTAACCCCTAACATTTTGCTAAGTTTTACTCAATAAAAACTGTATTTGTTTTAAAAAGGATCTTAAAAGAAAGAAATAAAGAAAATATTGAAAATATGCTGTTAATGCTAACTCCTTCACTACAAGTCTATGGAAGCCTATTTACTTTTTTGAAAATTACCCAGTGAATTTTTACTAAGAAATAATTATAAAGGGAAGACTAATGAAATAAAATTTCTGTGAGATACCTCATCAAGTATATTTAGATAAATTATTTCAGGAGACTGCAAAGAATTGCAATTTGTTGTCAGTTCACTATCTGAATATGAAAAATACAATTTTTTAAAATGTAGCTCAATTAAAATTGTTTGAAAAAAATTTATTTTTTACATAAGAAATCAAGCAATTTATGATTCTATGTCTAGATTAGATTTCTGCTCAATCCCTTAATCCTAATATATCTTTCATACTTGTAAACTGCTCCCTTATGAATGGTTGAGCAAACTGGAATACTTCTCAGGCAAAGAAAAGGAAATAACCAAATATGTAGGAACTTAAAAAGTTATACTGGAACTCAGCTATTCATTAAAACCACTATTGTTTTGGGTTGGATAGTACAGGGCTTGAGGTACTTGCCATGTATGTGGCCAACCCAGGTTCGATCCTGATACCACATATGGTCCTTTGTACCACATATGGTCCTTTGAGAACAATCCTGAGCACAGAGCCAGGAGAAAGTCCTGAGCACCAAACCCGGCCCACTCCCCCCAAAGAAATCACTCTACCCCCACCCCCCAAAAAAAAGCTCTTATTGTCTTTCCTCTTTGGATTGGATGGCCTATGAATTGCCATGTATCTCTAAAGTTAGGAACTATGACTTACCTCATGAAAAATAAATTATCTTTGTGATTTCACCTGTCTTTTAATATAATGATCAATTATAAAAAATGTTTGTCTCTGTATATGAAAGAGGAAACAATTCAATAGGGCAGTAATGCAAGGAAGGGCATGAAGGATGACAGTGGTGCTTAACAATGTAGCCTCAGGAATACAATTCTCTAGATATGAATGCTGGCTCTTAAAATGCTTGACCTCGAGTAAGACTGTGTTCTGTTACTTTTATCAAATGTAAAATTACTGCCCCTGAAGAGGTTAAATATTAAAGGGAGTAGAACAAGGGCCTAGAACCATGACATATTATAACCTACAATAAATGAACAGCAATAAAATCCTACAGCAAGAGAGAACATTGATTCAATAAGAGGCAAGAAAAAGAGAACAGCTAAAAAACTGCAAACTTAACATGTTCCCACTAACTAGAATCAATGATGAGATTGTCAGGGTTCATAATACATTAGACAAACAGTGCGGCCAAACATGACATGACCGTATTTTCCCTGATCAATATGCAGTTTAATCACAAACTACTAATTTGCAATTAAGATGCAAATAAACTGACTCTATAACAAGATGAAGGATAAAGTCTTTCATGAGGTATGAATTAACAGTACATACATATGCACTTTATAATGTTAGGTTCATTTTGTTTCTTTCATTTGTGACTGTTAAATCACATTGCATCATCACCTCAGCTAATTATATTCTTCAAGTCCTATCTCATGGAATAGTGGACCATGTGCAACACTTTCTAAATGCCAATGTAAATCTTTTCTAAAAATATAATTGCATGATTTTTATATTCCTACTTCATATGCTAAATAATTAAAACTCTACTTAACCTTCAGGAAAAAAATCCACTGGATTACATTGAAACACAAATTTAAGTGTGTTGCTGGTTTGTAACATTTCACATTTTATTGTATCTATATTATTAACTATATTCTTTCTGACTATAGACAGTTTAAAATAACAGTATTGCTATTATGCAAAATTTCAACAAGAACTTGACTATAAAATCCATATACATTGATATAACGTGAAAAGTAATTTGACATCAATCCTTACTTAGTTTGGGTGGAAACTGACTAAACAGGGTTCAGTCCATCCACAACAGTTAATTTGCCAGTGTTCTTACAACAGGAGACTTCATAAAAACAATAGCATGAGTAGAATTTTCTTTCCATGACATCAGCAAGCACCATTCAACATCACATTACTGTCACGCGCTCTGGAGAGAGATGTGGAACTGCTCCTCGATTACCTTCTTCTAGAAGTTGACTCTTTTCCCAGCCTTTTTTAATTCTCTTTAGCTTTTGGCTTATACATGGAAGGAGCAAAATGATCTTACCCACAATTACAACTGAGGGCAAAACAAGAGCGAGAACAAAGTTCGGTGGTGTATAAAACCTGTAGCTCTCTTCTTCAAAAGCCCGCTTCCATCCATAAATTAAAACATGGAAAGTACTTATGAGCAGAGCAACATAGCCAAGTGTAGACTTGGGGAAGAAGAAAAGAAACAAAATTACTCAGACTCACGAATTAACCCATATTTTAAAAAATTATTGAAAAACAGAAACTTCTGAAAAACAACATCCTTATGAAAAAATGTATTTAAACTACAGAAATATTTTCAAAAGTGGTGCATCTTTTACAGAGAAGGCCATCTTAGAATTCTCTAAGAATCATTTCAGTAATTAAATGTGAAAATTATGATGCTAGATAATATTGTATTGGAAGGATGTATTATTTCTTCGCTATTCCTTTTTGTTGATCATTTACTCTATTGTCAGCTATAAATAAATCATTTATTTTCTGTTTTCTAATAGAAAACATCTATGTAATAGAAAACAACTATGAAAACATCTGGCTTTTATTTAAGGGTATTGATTAAAAACTGTATATAAAGCTTATTTGCCCTTATCAAACAAAATCTCACCTACCTGAATAAAACTGAATTCCCTCCAGTTTAAAGCATTGCTCACTGAAGGGATGGCGGTGACTGCCAGGAGAGAGAGCAAGCCAAGGCTCATTATGCCAAAAGAGATATGCATTTCAATCCTCCAAGCTTCTTCCTCATTCCAGGAGTTTTCAATGTTTGCATGAACCTTACAAGAAAGCAAATGTGAATTTACTTCAGTTGGTAGAATATTAACTGATGCAGCACAGAGTTCACTCTTGGCATAGAAGAGTGTCATATCCAGACAACAGTTGTATTTGCTTGACTGAACCTAATACCATCATTAGGAGATCAGAAAATGACATTTCTCTACTATGGAGAATCTATTTCTAAATGGTATTGACCCAGGTGTGGGCAAAAAGGAAGGGAAATAGTTAAGCAAAGATGAATTGGGCAGAGTAAGTAAGTACAGCAGGTAGGGTGTTTTGTTTGCCTTGCATGCAGCAAACATGCAAGGCAGATCTGATCCCAAACCCACAAGAAGTGGTCCCTGCACAAAGAGCCAGGAGTAAGCCCTGAACATGGCCAGGTTTGGTGCCCTCCTCCCATTATAAACAAAGTTTTCAAAAAAACAAAAGGACTAAAACTGTCCTTCCTAGTTTAAGTCTAAAATTGCCATCAACCTAGATCATAAGATATCACACTTATAAGGACTCTCGTGTCCTAGACAGTGAAATGCAGGTGGTGGCTTCCAAGGATACAAAAATTACTGACAATTAGACTTGGTTTAAAGCTGATGATCCTATAGAGAAGCGAACACCAAGTAAAGGGTGTTTGGAGGATTCGCTCGAGATGCGAGCTGTATGCTGAGAGTAGACCAAACACTATGGTCACTCAATACCTCTATTGCAAACCACAACACCCTAAAGGAAAGAGAGCAAAAGAGAATGCCCTCCCACAGAGCTGGGGCTGGGGGGGGGGGTGTTGGGGAGGGTGGGAGGGCTACTGGGTTCACTGTGGTGAATGGGCACTGGTGGAGGGATGGGTACTCGTTCATTGTATAATTGAAACCCAAGCACAAAAATTTGTAAGCCTACAACTGTACCTCACGGTGTTTCACAAATAATAAAGCTGATAGCCTTGATGCAAATATGGCACATTTAGAGGAGTTTGACTTCACTACATATGCACTGTCTATGTAAAAAGACACTTGGGCTGGAGAGTGAGTACAATAGGTAGTAGGGCAGTTTGTCCTGAAGATGGCGGATGTGGGTTCCATCCCTAGCACCCCATATGATCCCCCAAGCACCACCAGAATTGGTTCCTGAGCTCAGGAGTAAGTCCTGAGCAGAGCTGTGTGGCCCAAAAAAAAATTAAAAAATTGAAAAAATACATTGAGGCAACATAAGTGGACAAACATTTGGCCTCCTTGGGGCTTTATCCTCATGGCAAGGTCTAGCTTCTTTGGGAAGCAAAAGTTAAGATCAAATAAACTATATATTTCTCTTATTAAAAAAAAAAGGCCTAAGGATGTACTCAGCAGTAGAGCCCAGTAGAGCATGTGTCCTCTGTAGAAATACCAACGCTTGACTTCTGCAAAATAATGTATGGTAGCAGCTTTTACCCTAAAAGATTCTGAGTTAGCCACTAGCAGAAACAGGATGTAAGAATTCTTACCCTTTTAGGGCCAGAGAGAAAATACTGCAGGTAAGGTATTTGCCCTGTATGTGGCAACCCCAGATTCTATCCCTAGAATCCCATATGGTCCTCCAAGCACCAACTAGAGTAATTCCTCAGTACAGAGCCAAGAATAACCACGGAACATCACCAGGTTTGGCCCCAAAACAATGCAAAAAATTTTCCCCTTTCTAAAGTCAAAATTTCTATAAGATCTTTTATAGAAGACTTTTTATAAGATTCTATCATAAGATATTATATACTACAAAATGTTTTACACAATTTATAGTCTTTCATTTTAGATCATTCAAAAATCTTCCATTTTACAAGTTGTTTTATACTCTACGTATGGCTGGTGTGAGATAAGAAGTAGAAACTTTTCATACCTGCTGGTAAGCCATATTGAGAAACAAGTACCGCTCTGACCTTCTCATTGGTAAACAGAGACTGTAGGCAACATGAACTGCAGCAAAGAAAAAACCTAGTATTCCAAGCTGTTTTCTACACTGTAGCCAGGTCTCCAGCCAAGTTGGAAATCTCCTATATTTAGTTCCATAGTGAAGCTGATAGGCAGCTGCCAGGAGGCCAGCCAGATATACGAGGGACAGCAACGTAATGGCAACGATGGGCAAGGTTTTATTCACAACCTCAATAGGAATCTTGTAAAAATCACTCTGCCGATTTTTGACAAACGGATGTATCACATCTCTGATGAAGGAATAAAGGAAAAAAAATATCGCCAGGCTTATAGCTACTACCACTGGCCCTCTCCAGGGAGTGAAAAGTCGGAGGGGCAAATTTTCAATCTCTCTGGCTGATGATAATGATCCCAGGTCAACGGGAACAAAATTCAACTGTCTGGCAAGTTCGATGACCTGCTGTCGTGCTTGAATATTGTTGCTGCATATATAAACCTGCAGAAAAATACACAAGATTGATCACTACTCTTGATATTTACAAAAAAATTATCCAAGTATTCCACCAAATCACTTAGTATTTGAGGATAATAAAGTGATGGGATATTTAATACTTATCTGCAAGGATAGAGGGAGCAAGGAAGGACAGGCGGAGGAAAGTAACATTTATTTATTTTTTATTTTTATTTTTATTTTTTTGCTTTTTGGGTCACACCCAGCGATGCTCAGGGGTTATTCCTGACTCTGCACTCTGGAATTATTCCTGGCGGTGCTTGGGGGGACCATATGGGATGCCGGGGATTGAACCCAGGTCGGCCGCGTGCAAGGAAAACGCCCTACCCACTGTGCTATCACTCCGGCCCCAGAAAGTAACATTTAAAAAACTTTCTGTGCAAGCAAGGAAAGACAACACCTTAACCCTTGCCTTTTCTTAAGTGAGCTTGTGATGAAGGCAACCACTAAATTGTTTTCCCCTTATTCCACATAATTTTGAGAACGGACATGTTCCCTGCCAAGGTAAGGACAAACATTTTCTGGTGCTCATAAATATCAAAATAAAAATCAACACAAAGTATCAGAATTTGCTTTTGTGGGTTGAGCTATTTTCAGGATCCAGCACAGATTTTCCTTTTCTTGATTTTATGAATGGTAGGTTATATGGTTGTTGGCTGTGCATTCTACATGGAAACAATTTTCCCTGATTAAATTAAATTTTCCACTCAGGGCTACAGACATAGTATAGAAGGATGCTTGCCTTGCACAGACTATGGTGCAACCCCCACCAGGAATGATCACTGAGCACAGAGCCATGAGAGAGCCCGTCAGCAGTAAGGGTGTGCCCCACCCCAAACCCCAGAAAGAAAAAAAGCAAACATAAATCTCTCCTATGTATGGAGAGAGAATACAGCAGGTAGGGTGCTTACTTTGCATGCAGCCAACCCATGTTCAATCCCTCAGACCCCATAATATCTGAGCACAGAACTGGAGTAAGCCCTGAGCACAGCCTGTGTGATACAATCTCCCCTACCCCCATCTTTTAAAAAATTTTTCCCCCACTCAAAGATTTCTTAGTGCAATATTCTTTTAAAATAGTTTTAGTCACAAAATACCTTACAAATGGGAATAAAATTTAAAAGATACATACCCGTCGGCTAGCATCCTTAGGTCCTGACTGAAGTGCCCAGGCTGAGACAACATTAAATCCTTTGACAATCAAAGAATCCGGGAATAATGAAGCCAAATATTCAGCATTAGATTCTGGGTATTGGTTTACCTTCAAGTTATTGCTCACATCAATCAGGATTTTACCCACTAGCAGATGTCTCAGGTCCCACAAGGATGTGTAATGCTCTCTATGTATAGCAATAAATATTATATTTGTTTTTGTTAGAGTATCTTCATGATTAGTTACATCTACTACATGAGGAAAAAATTCAGAAGCAAATTTAGGGTTTCTACTTCCTATGACCACATGATAGCCACACCGAATAAGTCGAATGGTCAGGGACTTGGCAAAATCTCCACTTCCAATTACACCTATGGTAACCTTCTTTGCATCTTTGATTCCATTGATGCCATTAGGCAAAAAAGTTTCACTAAGGCTCTTTGGGCTTCCCATCATAGAGATCGATTCCATGATATAAGCTCTTCCAATATCACCAGGAATATTCTAGAAGATAAAAGAGAGTAACATCAATTATTACCTATCACCATACATAAATACATTCTGAGCATTCAATAATGTTCCCTGTTTCTAAATGAAAAATGCTTGCAAGCTAATCATAATGCCCAGAAGTGCAGTTGCGGGGGATGGGGGGGGGGTGGGGGGTGGAGAATGGGGAGAGAGGGAGGGGGAGGGAGGGAGAGGGAGGGGGAGGGAGGGGGAGGGAAGGAGAGGGAGGGGGAGGTAGGGAGAGGGAGGGGGAGGGAGAGAGAGGGAGGGAGAGGGAGGGGGAGGGAGGGAGAGGGAGGGGGAGGGAGGGTGGGAGAGAGGGGGGAGGGAGGGAGAGGGGGCCATGGGGGAGAGAGAGAACCCATAGAGGCAGGCCTGGGAGAAGGGGACAGGCAGCTGGGGAGGGGGGAGTGAGGGAATCTGGGGACATTGGTAGTGAGAAATGTACACTGGTGAAAAGATGGGTATTGGAATATTGTATGGCTGAACCTCAATCATGTATGATTTTGTAACCATGTGTCTTATGGCAATTCAAATTAAAAAATTACACCGCCTCAAAAATGACTGCAAACTATATATCCTAGAATAAAGCAAGACATGATTCATAAGCTAACAAAAGGCCTCTTAGTGTCACCTAGTTGATAAGCTCAAGAGAAACTTTTCAAACTTAAAAGGGGCACTTGAATGAATCATCTGAGAATTGTCAAAATTTAGATTTTGATTCTGTAGGCCCAGATTCTGCATTTCTAATAAGACAATGGTCTTTTTAAAAATCATCATGCGGTCACAGGTAATAGGAAGACACTATTATGCTGGTCTGGAGATTTCTTTTTGAGCAGCAAGGTACTTCAGCTCAATAGGGAAGTTTTGATCTAGAGCATCTTTTCAAACAAGTGCGATTACCCAGCTTCTCAGCACATCAGAGACAGCGATCAGAAATGCCACTGTGGGTAGCGGGTACAGAAAACTTTATGCAGAGATAGAGATTAAGATGGGAAAACTATAAAAAATAATGAACTACGTGAAGTAAAACTGGAGTCCTTTGGGGTGAAGTCTTTAAACTATGCTGTACTTTTTTTGCTTTTCGGGTCACACCTGGCAATGCACAGGGGTTACTCCTGGCTCATGCAGTTAGGAATCACTCCTGGCAGTGCTCGGAGGACCATATGGGATGCTGGGAATCGAACCCAGGTCGGCCACGTGCAAGGCAAACGCCCTACCCACTGTGCTATCGCTCCAGCCCCCTATGCTGTACTCCTTTAACATTAAATCATAGCAAGATGAAAGAGTAAAAATAAACTCTGGCACTAAAATCATGCCTTAAGAAAAATAGCTATTGCTATAATAAAGGATTAAATACTACAGACTTTTACCATTCACCCTTTATCCTATAACTTACCACTGAGAAAGAGTAATAATGCTTTAAAAGTATGTAGACTGGGTCTCTACTCCCAGCTCCCAAGTTTTCCAGTACCTTGGCAGTCACACTCACAAACTGCCGCCAGTGCCATATAATCAACAGCCAAGATTCAGAGACTCTGAAATAAAGTGTCACAAGCCTTGCCCAAGAGTAAATCTGCTCTATAATTGTATTCTAAATTTCAGAATTCCTGGAGCGCACACTGCATTTGACATCGTGTGACAACTCATACTCTATCCTACTGATGTACCAAAAGTAGCACGTATTTGTTTTGGTTTAACATACATGTTTGCAATCTCTTATACAAGGGCTCAATGGTTCCAGGATGAAATGCAATCTTCTCACACCTTCCTCTTATGGTGGAGGGAAGGTGCAATGGTGGTGAGACTGGTGTTTCAATATTAAATGTAATGAATTATTGTGAACAACTTTATAAAAATTAAATTAAATTAAAAAAATAAAGGTGATGTGCCCAATTAATCCACCCTTCATCATACATTATTTAAGGTTAAAGTTAAATAATGTACTAGACTCTCACAAGAACCCAAGTTTCTTATATCCATCAGAGTAGAAATTATAGCATCCCTCCAAATACATAAGGCATAAAATTTAAATCTGAAAATCTCATTAATGGGGCCAGATAGCACAGTACATAGGGCACTTGCCTTGCACAGGATTGACCTAGGTGACTGACCTGGGTTCTATCCCTGACACTCCGTATGGTTCCCCAAGGCCACTAGGAGTGATGCTGGAGCAGACTGCAGAGCAAGGAGCGAGCCCTGAGCACTGCCAGGTGTGGCCCTTAACCCCAAATTCAATAATGATTAAGGTCTTTCAAATTAAAACAATAAAAATATGAAAATCACCTATTTATTTCAATAGCAAGCTCAAACCCCTTCTGTGTGAAAAGGTAAAACTACATTAGGATTTAATAATGTAACCTAAGCCTTTCATTACATTATATGTTAATAAATGACCGTTTAACATGCTTGCAACTTATTCACATTGTTATTTCCAATGGCAAGTTCTAACTGAACTCTGAAAGCGTGACTGCGGTTACTATCAGAATTTGGTCTAATGATTGAGTCTCTTCTGGTAATAGTATTAAGGAATGTAAAAAAGCATCCGTAAGAGAAAAAAAAGAACACTTTAAGGGATCTAAGAAATGGGTTTATGCATTACTTAAAGTATGTAATAATAGCATATGTCATGTGCTACTTCATAATTTGCAATGTTTATTATACATATATTATATGACTTATTGGATTCACAACTGCTATGACGCATATTTAATGTCTGACTTAAAATGAGGAATTTGGTACTGGAGAGATAGCACAGTAGGTAGGGCACTTGCCTTGCATATGGCCAACCCAGGTTCAATACCTGGTGCCCATATTGTCCCCCAAGACTGTAGGGAGTGATCCCTGAAGGCAGAAGCAAGCCCTTAGCGCTGCTGGGTGACCCCAAAACAAAAACAAAAAGAAAGCAGTCTAGCTCATGATAGGAAAATTTTCTATTGGTTTTTGAGTCATACCCTGTGATGGCAGAGCAACTCCCAGCTTGGTCCTGGGGCACCATGCTGGTTCTGGGATCTAATTCTGACTCCACCCAGCCCCATGCAGAGCCTGAAGAGCATGTCCTCTAGTCCTTTGAATCATCTCACCAACTCCTCAATGAAATTTATTTGCTAAGGATTTCAGTTAATAGTTTTAGGATCTGCTTCAAAAAATTATAGCAACATCTCCCCAATACTGCTGCACCCGTTTTTCTTCTATGTATAGAACAGAGAAATGTGGTACAGATCCTACCATCTGCTATAGAGGGAAGTCTGCTATATAATCATATACCTAGTACACATTTGGGCTTTCAGAGAACTGCCAGTTAACAAGACCAGGAATTACGTCTAAAATGAAGGTGGGAGAAGAAAGTCATTGAACAGCATGATATGATAACCTTGTTGCAGATGTACTTGGAGATGAGGCAAATTCATTTGGCTCTCTTGTAAATAACCTATGACACCAAGACCCCGCAGGCTGCTAAAAGCTTTCAGAATCTCCAAAATATCAGTTTAGAAATCAAGTCTAAAACCAAAGATTGTAATGATTCTCATCCACCTATCCACCCTTTTATTCCCAACCATTCAGCTATCCAATATGTACCACCAGGCTTCTTCAGCGAGGTAGTGACACTCCAAAGGCATAAAACAGTCACTGGTTTCTAAGCCATCTAATTAAATATGACAGATTCCATTATAACCATTACTCAAGAAGCAACTGTAAAAATCTCTATCAGCCATAGTTTACATATTCTAAAATGCACCCATTTTTAGTGAACAAAGGATTTTCAGTACAATTTACAGTTATGCAACCATTACCACATCCAATTTTAGAACACTTCATCTGTGATAACTGCTAATACTCAAATTTTAACACAACTGGCTGAGAGAAAACACCTCTTTAAAAAAATGCTACCTCCCTTTCATGCCCAGAGTGTGACCTAAGTTTTGCTGCTGCTGCTATTACTGCTACAGGAGTCATAGTGGGTTCCCATTGCTCAGGTAAGTAAACGCAGAATCATGATCCCAGAACAGGTTCTTCCTACACCAAAGCAGTGGTTCTCAACCCTAGCTGGACACTGGAATGACTTAAGTAACTCTGTAACAATGTAACACAAGTTTGTAATAATGAAAAACAATGCAAGGGGGTGAACAGTTGCCTTGGAATGCAGGAAGCCGGGCAGCATGCATGCAGCCGCTTTCTCTTACCCACTGTGCCTCAGCAGTATCACAAGGTCAACTCACTCCCGTCTTTGCAGTTTCCTCTCACCCTGTTCTTTAAAAGTATCATCAGCCCACCACTCCGCAAACTCCATTCCCATAGTTTCCTAATCAAAATTCAGAATGGGGCAGTGATGCTATAACTTCTGTCTGACAAAGGGCTCCTCTCTTCAGCAACCAAGGCTGATCTGAACAAGGAGTTTCCTAGTAGAATGACTTGCTCCAGAATAGCACTGGTCACACTTTAATTCCAGTATTATTGTATGGGAATAGAAAAGAGATAGTACAATGGTTAAGGCACTTAACTTGCATCCCCTTGACCAGACCTAATCGCCTAATCGCCCCACCACCGGCACTATGAGACATCTCTCTTGAGCACAGAGCTGGGAGTAGTTCCTAAAGACCGCAAGGTAAGGCCCCAATGTCCCCATTCTCTGAATAAAACCCAATATGATCACATTTATTTAAGTGCATACTCTGCATTTAAATTCTTAAATTCTTTTCTGAATTCTGTAGGTCTGGCCTCGGCAATGGGTCATGTCATTCAACATGTTGACACTGGCCAGCGATTTGTATTTATTAAGCTACAGTCAAGTGTGAGTCAGCAGTGGCGGGTGCCAAGATCTATGTGTTACACCATATAGTCTATGGTATTATTATAGCAGCCTAAAGCATAGAATGAGTTTTACTTTTCATTTTATCCACTAGGCATGTCACTAGTCTTGGAAGAACACTGCTATTCTTGTTCATTTTTTGTATCCAAGTTGATGAAGGCTGAAGAAAATAACACAACTGAGCTCACAATTTAACCCTGAATTTATCATCACCAACTATCATTGGTCAGTATTCACTTCTGTCCCAGAGATGATCCCTTTTCTTTTCCCAAGGAAGTTTGGTAATTTCCTTCGCAATCTGTCAAACTATTTTGTTTTGTTTGGGCTGTACCCAGAGATGCTGGTCCATGCTGTGCTGGGGCCTCCCGAATGCAAAGCATGCGCTCAGCCTATTGAGTTAACTCTCAGGTCCAGCAGCAAATAACTCTACCTACCCAGAACTGTCCCTATCTCAGTAAACAGTACCTTAATGGCCCGTGGCTCATATTCCAAAAACACTGTGTGGTGGGGAAGGGATGGAGGAGGGGCAGTGAGGAGCAAGGGAGGCTTAGAGACTACTCCTAGCAATATTCAGTGAATAGGGACGAATTGTCCAAAACTCGGGCCTAGCAGTGCTGGGACAGCAGGGGAATATGATGCTGATGACTCAACTATTCCCGCATGGGGCTGGAGCAATAGCACAGTGGGTAGGGCGTTTGCCTTGCACGCGGCCAACTGGGGTTGATTCCCAGCATCCCACGTGGTCCCCTGCGCACGCCCAGGGTAATTCCTGAGTGCAGAGCCAGGAGTAACCCCTGTGCATCGCCAGGTGTGACCCAAAAAGCCAAAAACAAACAAACAAAAAGAAAACAAAACCTATTCCCTCAGTCTCCCAAAACATTTAATTCATCTCCACTGACACAACTTAATCCAGATCACTATCATCTCAACCTGAACTCTGGAAACATTTCCTAATAGGTGCTTTATGTTTTGCTGGAGCGACAGCACAGTGGTAGGGCATTTGCCTTGCACGCAGCCAACATGGCCGACCCAAGTTCGATTCCTCTGCTCCTCTCAGAGAGCCCTACCGAGAGTATCTCGCCCGCACGGCAGAGCCTGGCAAGCTCCCCGTGACGTATTCGATATGCCAGACACAGTAACAACAAAGTCTTCAATGGAGACGTTACTGGGCCCGCTCGAGCAAATCGATGATCAACGGGAGGGCCTTTTTACTTTACCTTTATCATTCTCCTAACAGCAGCTAAGATTACCTTAAAACATCAATCAGATGAAATCTCTCCTCTTTAAAATCATGGATAACACAGGAGTTTAGCCCACTAACTTGCATACAGCCAACCCCAGTTGATTCCCTGTACCATAAATGGTACCCTGAGCACTGCTGGGTGTGGCCCAAACATCCTCCCACCCCAAATAAACAATAAAACCATGACTTTGTTTTCTGCTTTTTGGGCCACACCCAGAATTGCTTGGGGCTCAGTCCTGGCTCAATGCTCAGGAATTATTCTGGGTGGGTCTTGGGGAAAATATCAATATACTATCACTGCTGCCCAAAACAATGACTTTCTGATGCACTTAGCTACAGCTAATTTTTCTTTAGTTTTTTTCTTGGCCACACTTGGCTAGGCTCCCGGCTTACTGCTGGCTTGTGCTCAAGGATCACTCGGAGACCATCTGGGGTGTCAAGAATCAAAAGGGCCACCTGAATGCAAGACATCCCACCCGCTGTATTATTGCTCAGGCCCCTACAGCTACTTTTCTGAACAGCACTTTGAAAAGGCTCACTCCTGCTCAGCTCTCCAATCTCATTCTATCTGGCCATAGTCTGCTTTCCTAGAAAAAAACTCCCTTCCCTCCTTTCAGGCCTTGTTAAATTTCCTTTGTCATTATCTCATGTAATTGTTTTACTCTTTCTATCCCCAACCCCCACTAGAATAAGCTTAAGGGTAAAACCATGTTTGTCTGGTTTATCACTGACTTCTCAAGCTACCCAGAGCAATCCCACCTGCACAGCAGAACCTGACAAGCTCCCAGTGGTGTATTGGATACGCCAAAAACAATAACAAGTCTTACAAAGGAGACGTTACTGGTGCCCGCTTGAGCAAATCGATGAACAACGGGAGGACAGTGCAACAGTGCTACAGTACTATCACTGCCTCCACAATGCTAACAGGAAACAAGTATGCTCAGTGCTAATAGTAGGAGCTGGAGTGATAGCACAGTGGGTAGAGTGTTTGCCTTGTACTCTGCTGACCCGGGTTCGATTCCCAACATTCCTTATCATCCCCTGAGGACCACCAGGAGAAATTCCTGAGTGCAAAGCCAGGAGTAACATCTCCATCACTGGGTGTGACCCCCCCCAAAAAAAAGCTAATAGTAAACAAGCATGCTCTTATTTGCTCAAAGATTCTGGGAGCCCTTCTCTATTCCTTGAGTTCAATAAAAAAAATTCCAAAAATCAAGGTTATTATTCCAAAAAATTTGTCCCTTTATCAATCTCCTCAGCAGGTAGTTTTAGTTTTACCTTAAAAATTACTAAAAATACTAAATATTTTAGTAAATATTTTGTTACTGAACATATAAACTGTCAAGACCCAAAACAGATGTAATGGGTCTCTAGGTGAAATCCGTCCTTTTGTGCATTAAGATATGTGGGACCAAAGGGAATAAGAGACAGGTCAATATCATGCTTTATCAGTATGGTTGCTCAAAGAGTACAGAGAAGCTATTGACAGTAATCTTATGTCCTAAATCAAAGTTGCAGTTTTTCTAATCTTTTTGGTATATCCTTTTTCTAACATTTCTTTCTAACTCATTTGAAATCTGTTCTTTAAAATTCATTTCTGTTGGGGCTGGAGCGAGAGCACTGCGGGGAAGGGGTTTGCTCTGTATGCAGCCGACCTAGGTTTGATCCCCGGCATCCCATATGGTCCCCCAAGCACCACCAGGAGTGATTCCTGAGCAAGGAGTGACCCCGGAGCATTGCTGGGTGTGGGCCCAAAACTATAAATAAATTTCATGTGTGGGGCTGGAGAGAGATATTACTAAGTGTAGAGCCAGGCGTAACCCCTGAGCTTTCCCCATGTGGCCCAGACCCTCAGTCCCCCCCCAAATTTTTGTTGGCCAGGAGATAGTACTGTTAGGGTACATGCCTGGCATGCACCCTGACCCAGGTTAAATCCCTTGCGCCATGAAGGATAGTACGGTGGGTGGGGTGCTGTCTTGCATGTGGCTGACCTAGGTTCAACCCCCAGCACCCCATATGATCCCTCAAGCACCACTAAGAGTGATCCCTGAGAGCAGATTGTAACAATCAGCTCAATTTATCAGCTCAATTTATCACAATTGGGTTTATGATATGTTCACTCATCCCCAACCCTTAAAAACTAAGAAACTGCAGCCATCTGAATTACGTTTCTAAATAGTCTGCAATAAATATATCTAGGATGGGTTATTTTTCTTCTATGAATAGCTTTTAAGTTTTGAAACAACAAAAAGTAGAGATGCAGAAGAGCATATTTTTTTTTAAAAAAGCATGGGGGGAGGGGGGCGGGGAAGACACAACAATAAAGGTGGGGCAGAACTGAACACTTTTTTTTTGTTTTGGGGCCACACCCGACAGTGCTCAGGGTTTTACTCTTGGTTTTGTGCTCTGGGCTCCTATGGGGCTCGGCCTATCTATAGGCCACCAAGGTTCGAACTCTGGTTGGAGTAGTGCAAACAAAGCCTTCTATGCACTGCAGACTCACTCTGGCCCCTGAGACCTGAAAATCTCAAACTTGGAAGATCTCGTAGGATTGGGTCAGTCACGAAGGTAGGCCAAGGGGAAAGAATGAGTTATCTCCCTTCCGATTTCCTTTTTAGCAATGAGTGATAATTAACCATGGCCTGGAATAAGATTCCCCCATCTAATAAATGAACTGCCTGAGGAGTTTAATCCCTCTCCATGGGGTGGGCAAGGCAGAAATCTCACGAAAATTCTTTTCCTCTCTGCTCTATTTTAAGAGAGGGATTTTGAGGGCATACTTTTCAACAAGTTTTAGCTGAGGCTGAAACAGGGCTCAAAAATAATTTAGGACAACCGGAGCAGAGGCAAATTACTTTCTGACATTAAAATGGCCTAAACACACACAACGGGCACACAACTGGGTAATAAATGAACTGCTGAGAACAGTTCGCAAAAGAAGCCACGCGTGATATTCAAACGCAAGGACCGACCGGCGGACTCTTGGGGAGGTTGAGGTAGCGTGTCCGTCCCTGTCCTTTGTGGGGGGGGGGGGGGGGGTGCTCATTCTACCTGGGATGAATGAAATCTGTCCGGGTATCCTTTCTCCTGGGCCCAACCTCCAGACTTCCTGGGGGCAAGGTGGGGGTAGGGGTGGGGGGAGACCGAAAAGGAGGTACATTTCCCCACCCGTTCCCGACTCCACACGTCGAGGGAGGTAGCAGGAGATCGCCGCAGGTCGCCCGCAGAGGGCGCGGGAGCCCCGGAGGAAGGATGCTGCGCGCGGCTTCCCGGTGCATCTTTGACCCTCCACCTCCCTGCGGCCACCTGGCCTCGCGTCCTTCCCCGACCCGCTCACCTCCGCGTCCTCTGCGCCGGGCAGGGGCCAAGCCGGGCAGCTGAGCCGGCGCGGCGTCGATTCTCCCCGGGGCCGGCTGGAGCTCCAGGGCCTAGGGACTAACGCCCGGGGTTGGCGACGGCTCGCAGGGAAGCTGGCGCGGCGGTCGCGCTCGGGCGGCAGCTTCCCCGCCTCCCCCGGCTGCTGGGTCACTTATACCCGGGAGGACGCGCGGGAGGGGCGCGGGGGCGGGCCTAGGCGGTGACGCGCCACCCGGAGCCGCGCGCGGGGAGGAGGAGCGCGCCCGGCCACTACGCGGAGAGCTCAAGCTTAAGGGACGCCGGGTGGGGGGCCCCGGGAGGTCAGGGAGCGTGGAGGGGCCCGAGCCTTGCACCTGGACACCTCGGACGCCTGGATAGTGTTTGCACGTTTTTCGGCCGCGGCTCACATCCCGCGCGGGGGCAGCTGAGTAAATGGCCCCGTGGCCTGCGCCCCGCCTCCCGCCCCCACCTCACTCCGCCTCCCCCCAACCCCCCTAAGGGCTCCCTCGGGATTCCTTCCGAAATGCAGCCGGCTTTTCCCTTGCACGGCTTTTGTGGAGCGTGTTCATCTTAACGCTTCTCCACTTTGCTTTTCATGACGGCGTCCTCAGCTCCCCACCGACCCCCCTCCCGGACTCTTTCCCGGCGCCGAGTTCCTGGACAAGTCTGCAAAGAAACTGCGCCTTTCCTCCCGCACGTGTTCTTTCCTTCACCTCTGCCCAAGCCGAACGTCTTGCAGCCGAACTTTGTCCTTGAGAGAAGATGTTCAGACAGGCCCTCTTCTGGACCACGTCGCGACTCCCTGTCGCAGTTAGAGGACCCCCCACAGCTGGCTGACTGCAGATGCGGCTGCTGACTTTGACCTTCACTCTAGCAGGCGCTGCACGAGCTTTGGATAGCTGAGAAAGGCGGGTTAGACCGGGACTCAGGTAGATAGATCTTCACAGGAGAGCCACGTAACTCCCCCCATCCCCTCCCCCCCCCCCCCCTCAGTGGCCTTGAAAGTTCACCTTTGTCTCTGGAACTCTGTAAATGTTCCCCCGGCGGATTACCGAGCAATCAGATATCCTCTTCTGTGTAGAAGCAGGAGATCATTCTCAGATGCAGCATTGATTTATCGAAAAATTTCAAATTAGGGAGTTTTAAAAAACTGTGTTAGTAAATTTCCATTTTAGCAAATTAAGGTTTAAAAAGTATCTTCCTGCCATTTATAGGGGTGGGGGGCGGGTGGAGTAACTAAGAAGGGGGTCTTGGATGGCTCATTGGACTCTCTGCGCTTTCCCCTGTGGTCCATAGGGATTAACCTTTGCAAAGCCTGTTTTGGAAATATCCTTTAATTTCACAGTATCCCCTCCCCTGTCGCCAAATACATATTATGGGGGGTGGGGGGATGGTAGGGGAGAACATACCCCAAAATGCTTACTCCAGACTCTGAGCTCAAGGATCGCCCCCAGCGGTGGCCAGTGGATGGAGCCCTTATCAGCTGTGTGCAAGACAAGTACCCCAGTACCATCTCTCTGGCCCTTTAAAGTTTAAAGTTTAGGAATAAACTTTTTCACTCTGTTTTTAGTGATGTGTCATGGCCTGGGGACATGGGGAAAGGAAAATCTTTCAAGTGTTTGGTGACAGGAAAAACTTACTTTTTTAAAAAAAATTTTATTAGTGAAACACCATGAGGTATAGCTGTAGACTAGCAAATTTTTGTGCTTGTGTTTCAGTTATACAATGATCGAGTACCCATCTTTTCACCAGTGCCCATTCTCCACCACCACTGATCCCAGTATCCCTCCCACCACCTGTATTACCTGCCCCCTCCCCATCCCACCCCGCCTCTGTGGCAGGGCATTCCCTTTTGTTTCTCTCTCTCCTTTTGGATGTTGTGGTTTGCAATAGAGGTATTGAGTGGCAATCATGTTTGGTCTATAGTTTACTTTCAGCATGCATCTCCCATCCTGGGCGGATCCTCCCAACACCCTTTACTTGGTGTTCTATTCAAAAAGTAAGCTTTTGACTTGTTTGTTCATTGCAGCACTGGTCAAAAACTTACCTTTTTTTGGTTTGTTTTTTAGGGGCCGTGCCTGGCAGTGCTCAGGGGTTACTCCTGGCTCTGAGCTCAGAGATTACTCCTGGTGGTCTGGAGTCCTAGATCTCAAACCCAGGTCGACCACATGCAAGACAAACACCTACCCAATGTAGTATAGTTCCTTCCCTCCTCCCTCCCTCCAGTAATTGCCCCAGTAATTTTTAAATGCATTTTATTATTTCACCACATACAAGATTTTCACATAGTGGTGTTAGCACGTTTTATGAGCACTTTTGGAATTCATTCAAAAAATACAGGAATCTTAAAAGTGCTCAGATATTTTTTAAGGCATATGATTTTCACAAAAGGATAGAAAAAGCATTTTCTAATTATGCTAAAACATTACTTGATGTATAAGAAATATAGGCAAGCCACTATATTTATAGCTGGCACCTTGGGATAGTACAAAGGTTAAGGCGCTTCCCTTGCCCGCGGCAAACATGGTTTTTGATCTCTGAGACTGCATATGGTCCCAGAAACAAAACCAGGAGTGATCCCTGAGCCCTGCCTGAAGGACTAAAAAACAAACAAACAAAAAAGTAATCGTGAGTCTCAGCATTACTGAGTTGTGGCCCCAAAACAAAACAAAATAAAGTTATCTTAGGGGCTGAAAACAAGCAGAGTGGGTAGGATGCTTTCAGGGCCATACAGGTTTGGCATCCTATATGGTCCCTCAGGCAGCACCAGGAATAATTCCTAAGTGCAGAGGCAGCAGTAACACCTGAGTGTTGCCCAGTGCAGCCCCAAAACCAAAATAAATAAATTAAAAAGAATTTTGAAAAGTGATCTTAAAGCAGGTTCTGACTTGGTAACGGTAATTTACTCATCACAAAAAGTAATGGTAAATTACTAAAAAAGTGATGGTAAATTACTCATCCTAAAAAAAGAGAATCAATAAGCCAATAACTAGCTTCCAGAAGTTAATATGTTTTTTTCATGAAATGATTTCATCTCTCTTTGATGAAGATCTCATATCATCTTAGTGTGTTAGAAGAAAACTGTGCTTGTTGATGTACTAATCTATGATTCCTTTGAGCTCATTCCATGGGAGCTGTCATTTTCTTGCTGTTTTTCAGTTTGAGTATTTCAGAGTATAAAAGCATTTCGCAAGATTTTCCAGGTCATGACGTGCTCTCTGAGAAATCTCTTCAGTTCCCTGAAGTAGTAATTGATTCCACTGAAGCGCAGCAATAATTTATAAAATGGATCTCTAGTGGCCTCGAGGTGTTAGCACATTTTTTTTCTTTGAAGTTATTATACAATTGAATCTTGTAGAGAAGTAATTTCCAAATTGTGTAACTTCAAGCACTAATCCCTTCAGATGCTCCTCTAGTAATTCATTCACCACAAACATATTTATTGAATTCCTGCTCTATTCCCTGACTGTAGGAACAACAGCAAGGAGCATAGTTTTTCTTACCTGTCCTGGTAGAATGTATTATTTGGTGAGGTAAAATAAGTAAAAAAAGTAAGTGTAAATAATGATTAAAATAAGAATTTTTGAATTAGTAAATTCTTTATATTTACAATGAATTTTAATAAATTAAAAAGTTGGAATTTTCTTATTGAAATCAAAGAAAATTACCTTTGTTGATGTATTCATGTATCTTAATAAATTTTAATATACATATAATACAAAATCTTAGTATTATATTTATATTATAAATAAAACATTTAAAAATATTTCATATTATTTTTATATTTTATATTTTTTAATATTTTAATAAAACATTGTAGCACTGTCCTCCCATTGTTCATCAATTTTCTCGAGCGGGCACCAGTAACGTCTCCATTGTGAGACTTGTTACTGTTTTTGGCATATGGAATAAGTCATGGATAGCTTGCCAGGTTTTGCCGTGCGGACGACATACTCTCAGTAGCTTGCTGGGCTCTCTGAGAGGGGCGGAGGAATCGAATTCAGGTCAGCCGCGTGCAAGGCAAACGCCCTACCCGCTATGCTATCACTCTGGCCCTTAATAAAACATATTTAATATATTTACTTAATATTTATATATATTCAATGGGCTGGAGCGATAGCACACCAGGTAGGGCCTTTGCCTTGCACACAGCCAACATGGCCGACCCAAGTTCGATTCCGCCGCCCCTCTCGGAGAGCCCGGCAAACTACCGAGAGTATCTCGCCCGCACAGCAAAGCCTGGCAAGCTACCCGTGATGTATTCGATATACCAAACACAGAAACAATTGCCACAATGGAGACGTTGCTGGGTCCACTCAAGCAAATCGATGAACAACGGGAGGACAGTGACAGTGATATATTCAATATTTAATATGTTAAATAAATATATTTACTATATTTTATATAATTTGTATTTTATGTTATTTTGTATATTTTATATTATTTTAAAAATATATTATACAATAAATATTTTGTATTATTTTATATTATACATATAATACAAAAGTTTTTTGAAGACAAAATAGTATAGATGTATGAATATATATATTTTAATGGAGTTATAAGAACAAATACATTTTATGGTCTGAAGACAGAATAAATCCCTTAAAGTATAAGAATAAATATCTGGGACTGGAGTAATAGTACAGTGGGTAGGGCACTTGCCTTACACATGGCCAACCTGGGTTCAATCCCCAGCATCACATATAATCTCCAGAGTCCCACTACAGCAGTGACCACTGGAGAGTCTGGATAAACCCTGAGCACCACCTGATGTGGTCCAGAAACAAAACGAATAGCAATAATAAAATTCATCCTTAAAAATTTGCCAGTCATGGGGCCTGGGAGAGCACAGTTGGCAGGACACTTGCCTTACACACAATTGACCTAGGTTTGATCCCTTATGATCACACTGAATCATCAGCAGTGATTCCTGAATGCAAAGTCAGGAAAAATCCCTGAACATTTCCAGGTGTGACCCCCAATTTGAAAACAAAACAAAACAATAATGTTAATATTTTTGGCATGAGCAGACTTGATTCTGGACATCCTGGATGACCA